CCCCCGCACTCCGCTCCCAAAGCCTCAGCAGAACGCACAGAGGAATATTTGGGTATGTGGGCAGAGGGAAAAGCTCAGAACTCCACTGCAACTTTTATTTRGAGTTACATAAGAGTGAGATAATTATATCTGGTAATCTTCACGGCACGCTCTTGAGTTTTAATTCACCCTCGATATTGGGGTTATTATGATTTAAAAAAAAAAACAAAAACCCAGCGTTAATTTCTGCTTCCTTATTGCTGATCATGCATTTGAAATTTGCTGTGTGCTGTGTTTTTCCAATCACTTCTTTCCCAAGATTCATAATTTTCCCAAAGCATATTGCAAAGTCATAGAAACTGACTGCTTGAAAAATAAAAATAAAAGGCTAAAAATTTCATTCCCAGCAGAAGTATTTTTCATTKTTGTTACCAGGGGCAGCTACCTGGTGTTTTAAATAAAAATGATCTTATTTTATAACACCTAAAAAACCACTTTCACACATCTGGAAGAATGGCAGTCAAAAAAAATTACAGATTCCTCGCAAGTGCAAAAGAACATAAATATTTGAATGTCTGAAGTCCCTCTCTACAGCTCATTTATGGCTACACAAGTCCAGTTTCAAACAAATACCCCACAAAAAAAAAAAGCCTGACCTGCAAGGACTTGCACCTCACAAATCAGAGTGAGCGTTTCAGAAATTGCTAATTATTTTTAACAAGTTAAGAAAATATCCTTTCCTTTATACTCAACCCTAGGTTTAGGCAGGGGGAAAATCTATAAAGCATTTAAAGAAATCCCACTTCTCCCAGTGCAAAGCAGTCCAGCAAACCTTGATTTCCCCATAAACCACTAAATTATATCAGAACTATTGTGATTGTTCTACTAAAATAATGTAATTAGATYAGAACTACTTTTACATACAGTAGAAATGTTTGGATAATTTCCTTTCAGACAGGTATCAATAAAAAGCACCAATTTCATTGCAGGGAACACTCTTGTTGTTAAACCTGGCCAAGCTGACATTTCAGCGATCCCTGAGGTGATTTACACACCTTGTAAATCTGTGTTARCAAATTCATCTCTTTCCTGTAAAGAAAATACCTCTGCAAAACTACAAAACGCWAATTAAAATCCCCTGGGGAATTTCTGCAGTGCAAGATGCTGCCTGGTGATGTATTTTACTTAGCAAATCCTACAAATATCTAAAATATCTATCAATATTCTAGCAAATATCAGCAAGCAGGAGCAGCAGTGATGCCCCCAGCCCTCTCCCTCCCTCTCTGCCAGCTCCTGCTGCTCACCTGTGAGTYCTGAAGGCAACACCTCCAGGAGAAGAAGCACAAAAATGTTGAATTTTTYCTGCTGAGAGCAGGGACAAAGCTGAATAAAGTGGTAAATATTACCTTTGAAACACGGGTGAAAGCCAGGAATTCTTTCAAGCACACTGTGCTGTTCACATCAACACTGAATTTTAACCATGTGCAGGTCTCCAAAAATATTAATATTTGAAAAATGAGATTTAAATCCCTTTTTTGAGGCATCCCAAGACTAGGATGGATTCCCAACCATGGCCAGGCCACTCCTCTTCAACCCCACAGGACCAAACCTATTGACTCGGCACAGAGAAAACTTAATTATTTTGATTTAAAAATAGGACAAATCTCCAAGATGATCCCAGTGCCAAAGGTGGGATTTCAGATTCTTTTTCAAATTCTTTTTCAAATTCCTTTTCAAATTCTTTTTAAGATTAGTGTGCTGAAACTGAGAAGACAATAAAAGAACAATTCACAAAAGAAGGAAGAGCAGAACTTTTTTAGGMTTAGGGTTAGGGTTTAGTCTGGTTATTTGTAGGGAAAACCAATTTGGATATCATACTCCCCTTTGAAATTTGGCCTTGGTAACTGGAAATTAAAAAATTAAGAAGCTGCTCTGAATTTTTCAGCATCACTTTGAATTTGACAGAGCACTGGGGATGCCAGCTGCASACTCTGAATCGCCCCTTTCACTCTCCCTACAATACTCCAACATCATTTTTGGCATTAAGTCTTTCTGCAGCCTGTGCCAGRCAGGAAAAAAGTTCAGGAAGAAAGGGTGCTCTAAAAAAAAAGAGTGAATTTTTAATGCATTAATACTAGAACAAGGAAAAATGTCTCTTTTTATCCATTCTTAGCAATTGCAGGCTGGACAGAGACTCTACAAGTTTTCCCAATACAGACAAATATATCTGCACAAACTGAAGTACAACAAAAGTGAAACACATTATTTTATTTATAAAATAGTTACCTAATAATTTATCAAGAAATTTTTCATGGTTTTTAAACAAATTAGATCAAATCCCCATACACGTTTTTGAATTAAGGAAAAGGGTGCAAAGGAAGGGAAGTGGAGAGAGAATTTTACACATGATGCAGCATCTGTGATCTCTCAGAAAGCAAAAAAAGTCAACTGGAGCTACACCCTGATAAAATCCATTATTCTCCAGCATCTTCCATCTTTAACCATGATCTGAGCATTAAAAATTGTCCTTTTCTTCATCTTCAGGTTCACATGAGTTKTTCCATTTCTGTAGTTCCTGAGAATCAGTTATCTTCCACGCTTCAGCAAAGGACTTCATTTTTTTCCTGTGAGAGGAAAAAAAAAAAAAACCCTATTCAAAATACAGACACATTTTTAAGTGAAGCACATCAAACCCTGAAAGTCCTGCAGTCATCTGCAATATTTTATACACAGTCCAAAATAGCACAGCTCAAAATGTTACATGATCTTCAAACAACCAGTTAATATTTTCTAAGATACGTGTTCCTGCTCTAGGTCAGCAACAAATTGATTTAAAACTACCTTAGAGTACCAGGAGCATTGAAAAGTGATACAAACAAATGATAAGAACAAATTGTGAAAAGAAATAAACAGCTTTGTAGTCAGCCCCCTGTCTAATTTTCATCATTCAGCTACCAGAAATTTGTACTTGTAGAATCATAAAAAGAAAAGGCGTTTTCAATATAAAAGAGTGCACAAAACCCTTCCTATTTTCTTCTCAGCATTTTTTTGATTTATAAGAGCTGTGACAAATTACAAGACACTTAAAACGGGTTAACGCACATTCCCGACGACAGTAATGTCAAAACTGGATGAAATTACCCCGTGGATTTTCTTGAATAATACAGAAGTGATTTAAAAAAATAAGACAAGGCATGTGGCCCGTGGGTATGGTGAGAGCAGGTGAGAGTGTGACAGCCCAGCAGACACCTCACATTTTGGGGAGGAAGGCTCAGAGGATCCCACACTGGGTGGTGGGACAAGAAAAGTTCTTATTTGAAGATTTTTTTACCCTTTTTCACATGGAGAATAAATGTAAATTTCCCTGGAAACCCAAAATAGAGCTGAGTGGGCACCTCCAGCTGTGCCCAGCCCCTCTCAGGCACCAAAACCATCACTCCACACCAATCTTACTGACCATGCAATTAGTTAATGCATTAATTAGTCAATTCTCCCTTTTCCAGCAAGGAAGATGTGCTGGAACTCTCCTGGACCTGCCCCAGTGATCTGCCAGCAGAATTCTCACAGAAAAAAGATAAATGAAAAGGATGCATGGCATTCTTTCATATTTTGTTATCCAGTAACTCTGCCCTTTTAACACATACTCTCACCTTTCTCAACAACTTTATTTTTTATTTTAGAACCCTACACAGCCTGTAACAGCAGAGTTAAGATCCTGCTCGAGCTCTGTTATTTTACTTACTTTACTATTTACTTATTTTTTAATTACAGTCTAATTATASACTGGTATTTCCAATTACCATAAGCTACCACATTATTCTTCCTATAAATTGTCATGTACTTTCAAATGTTTGTATTTTGCTTTATTAAGAGAGGATAAAAAACATTGTTCAGAACTGAACACTGTCGAGTTTCAAACTGTTTGCACCTATAAATAATTAGCAGTCAAAATGTTCTCATATGAAATTATTCTGTCAGGATTAGGCACAGCCATCAGAAAATCCAGATCTTGGTTCATTATGTTCCACGGGGACTACGTGAATTTTGCTCATAGGACTGCCACAGAAAATAAAAGCAACAGAAAAAAAAATTAAAATGGATATGAATATCTAAACTGTGCACGTGATGTTATAGGATTTATAAACTTCCCTTTATAAATTTCCCTAACTTGTCTAATATATAAGGTACAAACACCTCAGGATGAAAATTGGGTATTAGAAAAATATATTACAATCCACAGAATTTTCAGTAAAATTTTGGGTCCTTGTGAGGGAAATCAAAATATATTATACATATTTATTTTCAAGTTAAATCAGAAGAAGAATAACATTTTAGTATGGAAGTTCCCAAGAAAGTCATATACAATTTAAATTTGTTATTATTTTCATTATCACTGGTGAGAACAAAAATAGGTATTATAGAAGGAAATAACTTTTAAAAAATCACTGTTGTTCTGACCTTTTCATATTCACTATTCTCTCCAGCTCCTTTGATTTGTGAGCTGCTTTYTTCAAGATTTCTTCAGGAATATCTGCCAGCTTGGCAACGTTTAGCCCATAACTCCTTGCAGAGACTCCTTTAGTTATTTGATAAAGAAAAGTGATGAATTCAGGATTSTCTTCTGTTTCAGACCCTAGAAAAATAAAAACAAAATTAAAATTTCGATGTGGCAAACACAGAATCCCCTGAGTCCTGATCAGCTCACAATTTAAACAGGTAATACAATACCAAGAATTATGTAGGGGAAAGGTTAATGGCAAATACCAGTGGAAATTCATTTACAAAAACCATTTAAAAATTCTCAGAATTATTCAGGGAACAGGCCTTTATGATGCCTCTTCTAATTTAAGAACTGGGATCATCGTGTTTCAAAACAGTTTAAAACAATCAGAKGTGGTTTTTCACTGCACACAATTTTGGAGCTCCTTGAGAGAGGAGGATGAGGACACTGGAGGTACAAAAAAAAAACTAAATTAGGCAGCCCTGTTGAAATGAAACCCACAGGAGACACAGAACACATCTCCCTGCTGAAACCCCATAAACAGCWAACAGTGAGATTGTCAGAGAAGGAGCTGCCATATGTTTGATCCCTAATCCCTGCTCCCTAATCCTTGGTGTTTGGCTGCTGTGGGAAGCTGGATGGTGGGATGGGCCAACCTTTCAGCCAGCACAGCTCAGATATCCCTGTGAAACATGAGAAGGAAGTGGACATTGCAGTGTCCAGCCCCGTAAACGTGTGAGTGGGGTGGGAGTGACCGCAGTGGGAGTGACCATAGTGGGTGTGAGTGGCTGGGTGTGAGTGCCCCATGTCCAGATGCAGTGTGCACTGTCACATCAGGGTCACTCTGTGCTCACTCAGATGTCCCCGTGAAACACGAGAAGGAAGTGGACGTGCAGTGTCCAGCCCCTTAAAGGTGTGAATGGGGCGGGAGTGACCAGGGTGGCAGTGACCATGGTGGGAGTGACCACAGTGGGAGTGACCAGGCTGGGTGTGAGTGCCCCAGGCCCAGGGTCACTCTCTGCTCACTCAGATGTCCCCATGAAACACAAGAAGGAAGCGGACATGCAATGTCAAGTCCTGTAAAGGTGTGGCTGGGGTGGGAGTGACCACAGTAGGAGTGACCGCGGTGGGAGTGACCGACCTGGGAGTGACCACAGCGAGTGTGAGTGGTCTGAGTGTGAGTGCCCCATGACCAGGTGCAATGTGCACGGTCACATCAGTGTCATTCTGTCTCACTCAGATGTCCCCATGAAACACGAGAAGGAAGTGGACGTGCAGTGTCCAGCTCCGTAAAGGTTTGAGTGGGGTGGGAGTGACCAGGGTGGCAGTGACCGTGGTGGGAGTGACCAGGGTGGGAGTGGGTGGGCTGGGTGTGAGTGCCCCAATTCCAGGGTCACTCTGTGCTCACGCAGATGTCCCCATGAAACACGAGAAGAAGTGGACATGCAGTGTCCAGCCCTGTAAAGGTGTGCCCGGGGTGGGAGTGACCACGGTGGGAGTGGGTGGGCTGGGTGTGAGTGGCTGGGTGTGAGTGTCCCACGTCCAGGTGCAGTGTGAACTGTCACATCAGTGTCATTCTGTCTCACTCAGATGTCCCTGTGAAACATGGGAAGGAAGTGGACGTGCAATCTCCGGCCCCATAAGGGTGCAAGTGGGGTGGGAGTGACCGCAGTGGGAGTGACCACGGTGGGAGTGACCAGGCTGGGCGTGAATGCCCCATGTCCAGGGTCACTCTGTGCTCACTCAGATGTCCCCATGAAACACAAGAAGGAAGTGGACATGCAATGTCCAGTCCTGTAAAGGTGTGGCTGGAGTGGGAGTGACCGTGGTAGGAGTAACCACGGTGGGAGTGACCGGGGTGAGAATGGGTGGGCTGGGTGTGAGTGGGCTGGGTGTGAGTGCCCCATGACCAGGTGCAATGTGCACTGTCACATCAGTGTCACTCTGCTCACTCAGATGTCCCCATGAAACACGAGAAGAAGTGGACATGCAGTGTCCACCCCTGTAAAGGTGTGACCAGGGTGGGAGTGACCACGGTGGGAGTGACCACGGTGGGAGTGACCAGGGTGGGTGTGGGTGAGCTGGGTGTGAGTGCCCCAATTCCAGGTGCAGTGTGAACTGTCACATCAGTGTCACTCTGTCTCACTCAAATGTCCCCGTGAAACACAAGAAGGAAGTGGACATGCAGTGTCCAGCACTGTAAAGATGTGGCTGGGGTGGTAGTGACCAGGGTGGCAGTGACCATGGTGGCAGTGACCACAGTGGGAGTGACCGGGCTGGGTGTGGGTGGGCTGGGTGTGAGTGGGCTGCATGTGAGTGCCCCATGGCCAGGGTCACTCTGTGCTCACTCAGATGTCCCCGTGAAACAGAAGAAGGAAGTGGACGTGCAGTGTCCAGCCCCATAAAGGTTCAAGTGGGGTGGGAGTGACCAGGGTGGAAATGACCAGGCTGGGTGTGAATGGGCTGGGTGTGAGTGTCCCATGTCCAGGGTCACTCTGTGCTCACTCACATGTCCCCATACCCCCGTGCTGGCCGCTGTCCTCCTCGCTGACCAGGAAGGCCATGTGGTAAT